AAAACGGTTGAGATCCCCACCCCAAAACTATATATACAAATGCTGGGCATAAAGAGACGAATGCAATCATGATATCAGAATAGACCCTGGGGTCTGACCGAACCCCTAGGGACCTAGTTTCTTGGTCACAGCTTGGAAACAGTTGAGAGCCCCACCCTATAACCGTATATGTACAATTGCTGAGTATAAAGAGATAATTGTACATATGCTTCCAGGTTGGCCTTGGGGACTGCCCCACCCTTGGAGACTTAACCCCTGGGTCATAACTTCGAAAATGGTTAATATCCCCAACCCAAAACTATATATACAATTGTTAGGCATAAAGAGACGAATGCAGTCATGACATTAGAATTGATCTCAGGGTCTGCCCCACCCTTGCAGACTTGGCCCCTGGGTCATAACTTTGAAACGGTTGAGATCCCCACCCCAAAACTATATATACAAATGCTGGGCAAAAAGAGACAAATGCAGTCACGATATTAGAATCGATCCTGGGGGTCTGGCCACAACTCTAGGGACCTAGTTACTGAGTCAAAGCTTGGAAACAGTTGAGATCCCCAACCCATAACCATACATAAAATTGCTGGGCATGAAAAATCTAATATAGCTATGCTACAGGGATTGGCCTTGGTGTCTGTCTTATTCCCTTGGTCTCAATTGGAGAATATTTTGCCATGATTGCTTAGGTATCCAGGTGAGCGATACAGGCCCTCTGGGCCTCTTGTGTTCAAATGTCAAGGTCAAATTTTGCATCTTTTCACTGATGAACATTTTGTTATGACATGATGAAGCAAAAATGATCAGAATTAAACAAGGAGTCAACCTGACCAAATGTCAAGGTCATTGGGTCAAAGGTCAAGGTTTAATTTTGTATCTTTTCACTGGTGAACATTTTGGTATGACACTTTGGAGCAATGATGCTCAGAATTAAACAAGGAGTCAACTGACCAAAGGTCAAGGTCATCGGGTCAGGGGTCAAGGTCAAATTCTGTAGCCTTTCACTATTGAGCATTTTATGACATGAAGCAAAGTTGTTCGGAATTAAACAAAGAGACACACTGAGGTAAAAAGTTGAGGTCAAAGGTTAAGGTCATTAGATTCAAAGGTCAAGGTTCAATTTTGTATCTTTTCACTGGTGAACATTTTGTTATGACATGTTGAAGCAAAATTGATCAGAATTAAACAAGGTGTCAACCTGACCAAATGTCAAGGTCATTGGGTCAAAGGTCAAGGTTAAATTTTGTATCTTTTCACTGGTGAACATTTTGGTATGACACTTTGAAGCAATGTTGCTCAGAATTAAACAAGGAGTCAATTTACCAAAGGCCAAGGTCACTGGGTCAAAGGTGAAGGTTTAATTTTGTATCTTTTCCCAGATGAACATTTTGTTATGGCATTATGCAGCAATGTTGGTCAGAATTAAACAAGGTGTCAATTGACCATAGGTCAAGGTCCCTGTGTCAAAGGTCACGGTCAAATTTTGTATCTTTTCCCTGATGAACATTTTGTTATAACTTTATTAAGCAAGTTGGTCGGAATTTAACAAAGAGTCAACTGACTTTAGGTCAAGGTCACTTGGTCAAGAGCCAAGGTAAAATTTAGTATTTTTTTGCTGGTGAATATTTCATTATGACACTTTGAAGCAATGTTTGTGGGAATTAAACAACGCGTCATTCTTGATGATTATGGGGGATATATTGCCACAAAACGAGGCCCTTACTGACCTGTCAGTGTTCTAGTTACTCCAAACTTCTAGACAACAGTAATTACTCCAAACTTCTAAACAACAGTAATTATTCCAAACTTCTAGACAACAGTTATTATTCCAAACTTCTAGACAACAGTAATTACTCCAAACTTCTAGACAACAGTAATTGTTCCAAACTTCTAGACAACAGTAATTATTCCAAACTTCTAGACAACAGTAAATTATTCCAAACTTCTAGACAACAGTAATTATTCCAAACTACTAGACAACATTAATTATTCCAAACAATGAGGTCTGGGATGGAATGTACATGCATCACTCTCAAAACAATGCCTAAGAGACTTGTTTTCTGACATGACTAGAGGTTTGATCGATTATTCCAAATAGGAAAAGCATACCTTGTTGATTTTTATAAAAAAATAAATGAATAAGGATCCAGTGCAGTCTGTGTGAAGTACCACACAATTTTATTCAAGATATATCCAACTTAATTGAAACATGTCTATATGACCCAGCTCATTCATGCTGTGTAGATTTGTATCTTAATTCCCTATTGCGCTGTGACCCGAGAAATGGGGGAAAGGCACATCATTCATTAAAACAGTATTGAATCACTGTGGTCAAAGGAAACTAGGAGACAAATTAGTTTGAAATCCCTATACCCACACTTTAGAAGTAATGACCCTCTACTCCCTACCGGGCCCGTCCACTGCTCCCATGCACAGGGACCAGGCGTGTTTGGGGGTCAATCTGTGAACCCTGTGGAGGACCTTCAAGAATGTTAAATTTCCTGATTTAGTCTTTCGTAACAATTTTGTAGTGGTCAACTTTATTTTTAAAGTATCTGAGTGCAATGTGCCGAACAGATGGTAAACGGTTCACCTCATCTAAACAATAGACATTTGCTTGAAAAATCCAACTATTTTTATCAGCTTTTCACTGTGTATTATCTTACTAAACGTACCAAAATAGCATCTGTTAACAAGACTTCGGCACTGCTATGGGTATTTGAGTCTCACATTCTTCACGTTACATCTGGAGCAAGAAGCAATAGTCAATGTCCACATAGAGTGCAAGCCTAACTTATAGAAACGATAAGTTGGCGATATACAAGAGAAATTGACCAACCATATCAATACCTCAGATGCCACAAAGAGCACCAGATTCATATACGACGAAGAAATCAACGGTACGGTGTTTCTAGACGGAGTTTCCTCTGGCCCTGACACCAGACACCTATCTGTCAAAATGTCTAAGTCTGGTGTCGGGGTCAGAGGAAACTCGGGCTAGGTGTCCTTCTTAGAAACCCTACTGGTAAAGACAAATGACCGAACCGTGTTCTAAAGGTATTGATCTATAGAAAAGACCCAAACGGACCAGTATTTAAACTTCAAATCTCACCATTGTATCATCAGAAGTTGGACGAAGTACGCACATTTTAAACAGATCTGATACAAATGCAAGACAAAATACATTGCTGGAGCAATAAAACATACGGATATCCGGAATGAGTCCTCAAAAGGGTACAAAAACAGTGTCAAAGTAAGGGAAAGAACAAGATAAGGCCTATCAAGGAAAAGAACAAAATGAAAGGTCTTCCGAAACCATCAAGAGGATAAATCGCGGCCATGTCATTACAGCAGCTATGAAGCCAGTCAAAATGCTTCGTAATATCCTAAGGATAGAACACATAAAGAAAACGTCGCAGAATGGATGTCCAAAATCGGATACAAGAAATGGGACGCATCCTATATCGGAGACAATGGAAGGCGATTTGAGATCTGACTTGGTGAACACGGGAAATAAACGGAAACCCAAGAGGGAAAGACATTCACCCGATCAGAAGAGAAGCAGCCGGAGTCACAGATAAATAAATCAGCTATCACAGACCAGGCCATAAAGCAAAATCATGGTAAAAAAACAAGCGGCAGATAAAGGAATCGATCTGGATACACCTCAGTGGACTAGGGGTCGCTGGATACACCGCAGTGGACCAGGGGTCGCGTAGTCGAATTGATTGGTCTGTTTGATTCTTCATTTCGTTTATGTGTAACAACTTATTGAACATACGCTAATAGAGTAGCCGATATATTTTGACAACTTGGACATATTTAACAGTTTTATACACAAACGCTTCATTGGCCATTTGTTTGATGAATGTGACAGAGTATGTATTGTACTAAGTCATCGAAACGTCACACATAAACCCTTAACTGGTTGTGCTACATATGGACCTTTTACAATCCATACTTACCAACCCGGGAGAATAAAATGTTTATGCGATCTTTTGTTCTAAATTTATTATTATAAAATATCTTGCCCCATTTCGGTTCACGATGTTTAAGGAAATGTGTATGTGACATTGTTTCTCACTGCAACCTGCGATTTGTATTGACTGGCTGTGAAACACCAGCACCCTTTTGCCTCTAAAATAAAATATTGTGGAATTAGTAACTGTTTTCTCAAACCATGATACCGTATGTTGGGACACTAGCAAGCCCCACCCTACATAGGACATATTGGTGTTTTAATGAAGAAACATATATAATACTTTTCGGTTTGTGTGGGAAAAATACAAATTCACACATATGTGATCATCACCATGCCGAGTTTGGATTTGAACACCGTTTCAAGTAGCCGCCGAATGCATACGGTACTATATTTGTAATTAAGTAATTTCAATTTCTGCCTAGCTGTACATTTTCTTCCCTCGCCAAATATATATGTATATAAAGATGGGTATTTTTTCCGGCAGAGCCGTTTAAAATCATTTTGGGATAATGCGCGTTTTTTTGGATTCTCCCCTGACGTCATTTGACTCATGGGGCCGAGTGCTGTGCTGTTTTTCGATTGGTTAATAATTAATACAGTTTCTTCAGAGAATTTTTTTAAATTTAATTTTTGATACTAAACAAAGACGACAGTCTCATTGGTCTGAAAACCGCAGTTTATTTTGTTGCATGGTACATTAAGTTTATTAAGTTTTGTGAGCTATGATGTAAGGATGTTATGGCATTATCTACGTCACCAAAATGTTTGCTTCTAACGATTGTCTCACATTGTTCGATGCGGGAGGAGAAACTTCAAAATGACGCTTATCAAATGGCGTTCATAGCCCTGTTAAACGCATTTTCTTCTGGAAATGATCATAGGAGAATTTGCATAGGGTATGTAATTTAAAAAAAAAAAAAAAGTTATAAAAGCTCTAAGCTGAATGAAATTCTGTTTAAGCTAATAAAATAGAAGTATTGCTGCCTATTTGCGGAACTGTGGAACAAAAGCATAGAACACGAAAACATGTACAAATATAAAATATAATCTTTATTTATTTTACAACAATTATGAAACAAGTTTTTTCAACATATATTAATCACTCTTGTTGGCCCAGATGTTAGCGCGTGTGGTGTCTTAGTGTGGGAGGAAACCGGAGAACCCGGAGAAAACCCACGTGATCGGGCAGGTGACCCCCACCCCAACCTTTTCACATGTTGTCGTGTATCCGATTTGCTTGGAGCATAAAGAAATTAATGCATGATAGTTAAGAGACAATATATGTCAGTATAGTTGCTTCTTATCATACGTATGAGTTGTTGAAAACTTAATCTCATACACTTTTATGAAAAGTATATACCTAAAGTTATAACTTTTCATAGTGGTTCATTCACTAAAGAGGTGAGAAACACAACTATTTTTTGTTGCAATACAATGTTTTCAATTGCTACAGACGTTATACTACCGATTTTGTGTCATTTTCAACATATTTGTGATATCAACCTTCAATTTGCGGCCAGTTTTTTCCAAACCAGTATCTGAAGTACTAGTAATTTAACATGTATATTCCACCTATAACTCACAATTTAGAGAGTGCCTTCATTTGTTTTTGCCCGGGACAATATTATGCGGGTAACTTTTTCACCCTTCACACAAAAATAGGTCAACCTCGTGTATTATAAACAGGGTTAGTGTACCTTTGAATATTGGCAGCCATCTAGCTACTTGGGAATTGGTAGGTACCTTCCTATATAACTCTCAATAAGCTATGCAGCTCGGGTAATCAGCTATTACAGGAGAGATGTGCCATAAATTCATATAGCATATTAGGATGGCACAGGGATTTGAGAGAATAGCTGTTTTTCATAACAGTTTTAGAGGTTTTAATAAATTACTGATAAAACTGACATTGCAAGATTGAAGATTCATATAGGCCTTCATTTGTTTGTATATATATAAAGTACACACTGTCACTCGGTGGGTTGTCATTTGTGGTGTTTATAATACAAAACTACTACGTTTAAAGCTCTCGGGTCCCTGTGTCATTTGCTTACAGCTGGTACACAGGGACCTGACGATCACGTTACGTAATACACTGTGAAGGTACATGTACCATTGGTTGGTAAATTTTTCTACTACAATAAAAAAAGTATGGTGGAATTCAGACAATTGAAACTTGCCTTTTGATATACTATCATGTTTGGCATGTCATTTCTATAAGGTGAACATGTAAGGTACTATTTAAACATGTACAGGTCAGCTTTATTTTTTTTTCAATTTTGGGATTAGTATTGATGTTTTCAGAATACACTATACTATCTGGGCAAGTCATCTAGATCATTTGCAGGTTGACCATTGTGTAAATGCAGTTGGCTTAATTTGCAGGCTTTTTATCACTACATGGTTAAAATATTAAAAATAATAGATATGTTGTGAAATGGTTTAGATATTACAAATATTATATGGCCCATACAAGTTATTTCAACTAAACATTAAAGGCAAGGAATTTGCTGATCTGTTTGTTAATATATATATGCATTTATATGATTTGTAAATCTGATTAATTGGAGATCAATTTTATTTTTAACAATGTATGGATAAATATTTTAAAGTACCATAAATATTTGCAATATATATATATACATATAGGGAGCACTTGTTTTGGGGGTTAATGATAATATATCAAGAAAGGGGTTAACATTTTAACTTTTGTCTAATAATGTTACTTAAATATATATCTTTCAGGTGTGTTTGCTCGCTGTTGGTTTATTTGGTTATGATACGCAGATGTGAAAGCAATCATGGAGCTTGGCTTAGCATTTGATGATGAAGATTTAGAGGAAAACACTAAAAAGTCAAAGACAAATCAGCTTGTATCCTATAATGCCAAATTTTGTCCACCCAAGGTAAGAAATCAACGACATAATATCTATAGTGGTGTAATCCGAGTATCCTCTGACCATATATAGCTATACCAGATCAGAAATGTTTTTGAGGGTTGAATGTCTGGCTGGTGTTATAATGTTTATCCATTGGCTGTACATTCTACCATTTGTATATCTGTCCGTCTGTCTAAAGATTTTGGTAAAGGGATTTAGAGGTCAACTTTTACAGTTGTCGTTCGTATTCAAGGGGAGATCGCTGACTATTTCCAGCGTTACGTTGTAAGGGGCAGTAATTAAGTCAATGTTTACATTCATTTTATGTGTCAAGTATAAACTGAGTTCATCGTTTTCTTTTTATTGGTATTTTAGAAACGATAAGATTACTGTCTATATGTGGCATGTACAAGGGGAGATAATTTTCTACTTTCAGTGGTATGAGGATGCAGATATCAATGACAATGATTCAGCTGCTCAGATATTAAAATACAGGGGAGATCACTCATACATCAAGAAAGAATATGCTGCAGCCATTGACCACTATGAGGAAGCTTTCGGTAGGTCATATTAATAAAAAAATTATGATACACTGTTTAATGGGAAATGTTTGCTGCTGTTAAATTTAAGCTGTTTGTGTCGTCAGTAATCTGGGCAAATGGATCATTAGCAACATTGAATGTCTAAGGGCAACATTTTAATGCTGGCGAGTATTGATTTTACCGGTGATGGGTGACAGTCATTGGAGTGACACATATATTGTTCAGTGTTAGCAGCAGTAAGTGATAAGATTCACATTACTATGGCTATACAGGTAGATACACACTTTGACGGTTCAGTGGTCCTGATTACAGGTAGACTGCCAGCTAACAACAAAGGAATGAGGAGGGAAATGAAGGAGTGTCAGACTAGGAGTTATGTGGCCCTGCAGCAGCACAAGCAGGCCCTGGAACTAGCATATCAGCTAGTGAGTTTTATTTGATTCCAAAGCAAGTATACAGACTAGTGAGATTTAGTGGGCTCTGTAACTAGCATATAAACAAATTATAATTAGTCAGCCCTACATTTTCAAACTAGCAATTTTTTTGTGAGATATAGTAAATTTACAAAACTATATACATGTACTTGGGATATATATAGCTAGCATGATACAGACTATTACATTACATAGTAATGTATGATTATTACAGAAAGATGATGCGTCCACTCCTGACCAGCACTTCCAGTCCTTAGTCCTGCTGACCTATGTACAGGAGGCTGCCCAGGACTGGCCAGGTACATTTTCTAAGTTTTTGTTGGTTTTCTGAACAATTGTTTAACTTTGAAAACTTCTGTTGAGTAAAGGTTATATGGACCTAAAAGTGATATCAGCCTCCACTGTCTCATGCTAAGTTTATCATTAAACAAGATTGAACATCAGAGAACTGTCAAGAGAAAAGTACTACATTTGGTAGAGAGCATTGCAACATTACAATCAAAGTGATATCTTAATTGGAATATTAACCTGCTGTTACTAAGAATAGTATCACTAATCAGTATCACAAATAATTGATTTCAACGCTGAACGAGGACGCAGGAAATTTATATAGTAATTATAACAAATTTATGGTAAATATCTGTTTTATTAAACTTAGCTAAAATAAATTTAGATTGTGTTTCTGTATAAAGCAGAGGTAGTACATGAGTACACCTTTGAATCAAATGATCAATCAATAATCATGACGTGTTTGATCTTAGATGATCATTCCATTTTCAGCAGCAAACTAAATTTTACTTTTCAGAATTTGAAGAGTCTGTAAAACAGCTGATCTGCTGTCACCCTGATAGTGGTAATCTATGGAGGAGGTTGTCCCAGTGTTACTGGCACAGACAACACAACCAGGGTACACCAGAGTACTATAAACTTCTCACCTGTCTGGTGCGGTCAAGGTGAGTGACAAGGGGAATGTTTCACTTGTCTTGTACAGTTGTAACAGTCTGATTCTAGGGGTCTCTTTGTATAGATCACTCTAACGCTATCTTTGTTTCCATTCAGATTTATATATTAAACCCTAAAACAATAAATAGCATGGATTAGTGAAATATCCCGCATTTAAATACCAACAGTAGCTTATACATTACAATGGAATCGTCCATATACAATAAAGCAACAGGTTAACCCACCTGTCGCATGCTACTAACTTTACACTTCACTATATAAATACTACCAAATTGTTATACTGAATAACTCAGGCGTTATCACTACTCCAATTAAATAGCCGAGCTTAATGCTTATCATACAACCAATGCGGTTCAGAGTATTTGACAAGTATCATAGTCAAAATTATACAGTTACATTAATAATAGTTTAACAACAATGCAACTATTTGTACAAAACGGAATCACTTCAAAACCTGCCTCTTCATAGACAAAGAGGGTCTAAATCCAGGGAGACAACCTGTACGTGAGTACGTGACCAAGTAGCCAATCTTGCGCATACAATGCTACAAATAATAAAATAATGACAATTACTAAAGATGTACCAGTATCGGACGTTAACAAGAATGTTTAATATTATATCAAGTTAACCAAAATCATTGTGAATAAAATAATGAATAGCACAAAATGGCGGGAAAGTCAAATTTCAAATAGCCGTATTAATTGAATTGGACAATTTCAATTGATTTACAAAGTATATAATTTACATCAGAACTATATCAAAATGTTATCACATGTGATATAAATAATTTACAATTACTAAGATCTTATTAAAGTAATCACAATTTAGAATTCCCAGCTCACTAATAAGCACTAAGTCTGCACAATTGCATAACACGTCCGATACGGCCATAAACTTGTACGGGAGTGACAATGCCCCCCAAAAGCGCGGGTGCGCACTGACCCATGGTCAATCTTACACAAAAATAGATTGACCCATGAACCTTGACAAACAGGTTTACACAGGTGTCATTTGGTATAAAGCAAAGTGTACATGTATATAGATACACTGTATAGTAAAAGAACAGCACTTAATACTCTGCTCTTAATGAAGAATTAAGTTTAAAAATAACCAGCTTTACAAGTAAAAGATATTACTGTCATTAAATAATGACACTGTTACACAGTCAAGGCGAGTGACCAGTGGAATGTCTCGCCTGTCTGGTAGTCAAAGTGAGTGACCAGGGTACTTTCTCACCTATTTGGTAGTCAAAGCGAGTGACCAGGGTATTTTCTCACCTGTCTGGTACAGTCAAGCAGGTGACGAGGGTACATTCTCACCTATCTGGTACAGTCAAATTACTGTCATTAAATAATGACACTGTTACACAGTCAAGACGAGTGACCAGTGGAATGTCTCGCCTGCCTGGTAGTCAAAGTGAGTGACCAGGGAACTTTCTCACATGCCTGGTACAGTCAAAGCGAGTGACCAGGGTATTTTCTCACCTGTCTGTTACAGTCAAGTGAGTGACCAGAGTACATTCTCACCTGTCTGGTACAGTCAAGCAAGTGACCAGAGTATTTTCTCACCTGTCTGGTACGTATACAGTCAAAGTGAGTGACCAGAGTATTTTCGTACCTCTGTGGTAGTCAAGCGAGTGACCAGAGTATTTTTCTCACTTGCCTGGTACGTATACAGTCAAAGTGAGTGACCAGGGTATTTTCTCACCTGTCTGGTACAGTCAAGCAGGTGACCAGGGTACTTTCTCACCTATTTGGTAGTCAAAGCGAGTAAGAAGGGTACTTTCTCACCTATTTGGTAGTCAAAGCGAGTGACCAGGGTACTTTCTCACCTATTCAGTAGTCAAAGCGAGTGACCAGGGTACTTTCTCACCTATTTGGTAGTCAAAGCGAGT